TGAATCGCCCGGCACCCTGCATCATCTGCCCTGCAGCGAACCTACCGCACGAGCCGTTCCCCACTCATTTCCCTGGCGCTGAGGATTATCGATTGATGGAAAAAGTTTACAGTGATATTCTCAACTTACCTTCGGAGGGTTTCAACGGCGAGAAATGTGTTATCACGTTCACTGACGCTTCTGTCAAAATATGTTCACATATTTTATATAATCGTTTGCAGTTGTAGTGTAGTTATTGCATCATGTTTGGTGGTGCACCTCTTTGTGTTGCTGTTTGCCTATTTGTACTCTCATTTCTCATTAGTGAAGCCCCTCTTTTGGCTTGCTATTTCCTCTCGTCACCCTCACCTAGTTCAAACCCTAAGCTACTATGCTCCTAATCTTAACATGGTATTAAGAGCTAGGTCGTCCTAAGACCTAACCTTTTCATTCTCAATGGGCCCACCGCGTATTTCTCGGTTTGTGGCGCCCGTCGTGCCCTTAGTTGCGACTGATGTGACGGGCGCGACGGCGAGCTGTCTGCTGCTGCCCGTAACCTGCCCGTCTCCTGCCCGTCGCACTGCATCGTCGACCCTGCTGTCATGGCGACGAGCTGGGCGGCTCGGGTCGCCCCATTGTTTCTTCGCCCTGTCACCCGCCCCGCGCTACCCGCCCCGTTACGAGCTGCCACAGCCACGCGCAGCTGCGCGAAGCTACGTACGGGCACGTGAAGCCGCGCACAGCCGCGCGCAGCCGCGTATGGCCGCGCGCAACTGCGCCGCTCCCCTGCCACGCACGAGCTGCTCGTACGCCAGTGAAAGGGGGCGGGGGGAGTGTGAGGGGGTGGCGAGAGAGATTCTGCAAAGCCAGCAGCCGCCCCTCCTCTCTCTCTCACTGCCGCTCGTGCTGCTGTGGGGGGGAGGGTAAGAGAGGGTGGCGGAAGTCAGTCAGGAAATTGCAGCTGCCACCCGCTGCTACCGTGGCACCTCCTGCTGCCGCCCCTGCCTCCACCTTCCCTTGTTTCTGTTGACTGCTGCTGGGGCCTGCAGGTGCTGCCGTCGAGCCGCTGCTGTCCTGCTGCACGTTGCAGCCACAGAGCCTGCTCCTCAGGCGACCTGCCGCCCCTACACCTGCTACTGCTTCTGCTTTGGCTGAGGGCGTGCTACAGCTGTATTTGCCACTCCTGCACCGGCTACTACTGCTCTTGCCTGCTTCTGCTTCTTCCGCTGCACTCTTGGTGTACCCCATCAGGGGGCGTTTTACACTTACTCCTGCAAACAATTATGGGGGCGTGTCAAAATATGTTCACATATTTTATATAATCGTTTGCAGTTGTAGTGTAGTTATTGCATCATGTTTGGTGGTGCACCTCTTTGTGTTGCTGTTTGCCTATTTGTACTCTCATTTCTCATTAGTGAAGCCCCTCTTTTGGCTTGCTATTTCCTCTCGTCACCCTCACCTAGTTCAAACCCTAAGCTACTATGCTCCTAATCTTAACAGCTTCTACTCGATATGTCTGGACTGGTAACATGACTAATCGTTTTCTTGCTTTTACAGTGTTTCAGACATGGCTTCCTCTCGCCGAACGCGAGTCCGACACCAAACTCAAAAGCTTCCAGTGTGACGGAGCTGGAGAGTATCGCAGCCTCGAGTTTACAGCATACCTGCAAAAAAGAGGCATACGGCGCCTGTTCTCACTTCCTCACGCTCACCAGCAGAGCGGTGTAGCTGAACGCCTCAATCGTACTCTGCAAGAGAAGATGCGAGCTCTTCTTGCACAGTCTCAACTTGGCCCACTCTACTGGCCCTTCGCAATGGACCATGCAACACTGTTGCACAACCTCCTGTCTTCGTCAGCTTTACCCAACAACGCATCACCTCACTTATTATGGACAGGAAAATTGGGCACTACGAAACTTCTTCGAGTTTTTGGGTGTATCGTACAATATCGTCCTCCTACTGCTCCGCTCGGGAAGTTCGATCAGCGTGCTAAGTGGGGGCTGCATCTCGCCATTGAAAAACAATATTTTGCCTGGCGTATCATGGATTACCGCAGTCGTCTCCTTGTTCCTGCTCGCGACTGTATTTTCTACGAGAATCTGACGCTGCCCGTCTTCGAACAGCATCTTGCTTCACAGCAAAACCCTGCCACGCTTTTCCACGGTGTTCGTTCGTTTGCTAACGCCGATGTCGAAATTGCTGCCAGCGAAGAACCTGACTCTGACGGTGCACGTGAAGCTGCTCCCGACCCACCTGTCCCTGTCACGTCATCCGGAATTCCGGAGTTTATTCCTCTTGCTGACACGGCACCTGAGGATGTTCGCGATGTTCATCATACTTACCTCGTGGATGAACAACGCCAACCAATGCCGGTGGTTTCTGATAGCAGCATCCGTGTCAACCCCGACGAAATTGGGGGGGCAAGTGGAGACCAGAATGATTCTGTCAATTTCGCAGGTCGCACCGACGATAATCCGCATTATCAGACCGGACTGCAAATTCTGGGACTCGCAGCAGCGGTACAGCATAGTTCTACAGTGAATTAGGAGCCGAAAACTGCCCGACAAGCTCTCTCAGGGCCTCATCGTGAAAAATGGCGTGAAGCGATGGATCGCGAGCTGGCTGCCCTGGAGAAAAGGGGAACTTGGGATCTTATACCCATTGAAAAACGGTAAACAAAAATGTTCTTACCGGTAAGTGGGTCTTCAGGGTGAAGACTAAAGCGGATGGTACTTACGAGAAACACAAGGCACGATGGGTGGTACGTGGTTTTGATCAGACTCATGGGATCGACTACACACTTACTTTCGCCCCGGTCAGTCGACATACGAGTGTTCGACTCGTTCTTTGCGAAGCAGCCGCGAAGAATTTTCCACTTCGACAAATCGATGTTTCCAACGCTTTTCTGTACGCCGACGTCGATGCCGAAATCTACGTCGAATATCCACACACCTATCCGACAATTCCGCCGAGTGTCTGCAAGCTCAAAAAATCACTGTACGGAATCAAACAAGCACCGCGACTGTGGCAGCAGCATTTGAACAGGAAGCTGACGGAGGTTGGGTTTAGACAACTGCCACACGATCCAGGGATGTACCGGCTAGACGACAAGGGGAGCTATGCATTGTTAGTGGCTTACGTGGACGACATCCTCTACGTCAGTTCGTCTACTTCGCTGGGTGATCGTATCGAAGCTGATCTGAAGAAGTCACTTGACTTAACCATTTCCACCAAAGTAACTCAGTTTCTGGGGTTAAACGTTTCGCGAACTTCTTCCGCTATTCATCTCACGGCTTCGAAGTATGCGGAGTCACTCGCTAAGCGTTTCAACATCCCCACGGATTTCGTTGCTACACCTTATCGGTCTACACTCACCGGGCACGTTCCCAACCTGAAAAATCTGTCAGCAGCTGTTATATTTTTCGTCTCGAGCCGATTGGTCCGATTTCCTGGAATTCCTCGAAACAGGAACTGGTGTCACCTTCTTCGGCTGAAGCAGAATTCATCGCCGCTTGTGCTGCAACTCGCGAAGGTCTATACTTGCATGAATTGCTTGACGAAGCAAAATTCGTCACGCCGAATCAGTTCACGTTGCAGTGCGACAACCAGAGTGCAATTACTATCGCCAACAAGCCTGGTTTCGTTAATCGCACGAAGCATATTTCGCTGCGTTACTTCCTCGTAAAAGACGCGATCGACAAGGGGAGAATGCGCCTTGTCTACTGCTCCACCAGTGACATGGCCGCTGATTCGCTTACTAAGAAGGTGACACGTCAGAAATTTCATCACTGCAACCAGCTCAGTGGTATTTCCGAGTCAACAGGATGACTACACCGAACTCCTAGAAGTGAAGGGGAGTGTTGAGATAATATCGAGGTTTATGCACTTCAAGAAATTCGTGTAGTATAGTTAGTACAGTAAAAGTACCGATAGACTGACGTCAGCAAAGCGCTACGCGCCCTAGGATGACGTCATCAGTAGCTGTAGGTATCGCGAATAGTCACGTACCGTTTCAGAACAGGAATAGCGCGAATAAATACAGCACAGTAGGCGAACAGGTACTTTAGTCTAGCTATATATTCTGTATGCTTGTCATTTTATAATATACTTGATTTCAGAGACATTGATCCTGTTACAAGTCACTCATATAAGACTTCCGCTACGACAGGAAGCTACCATCCTAAGACTACGATCCTATTCAGACAGTTTAATTCTAACAATCTGCATGCTTACACTTGCTAGGTTATGATCACTGTACTGTTTGTTCTCTTTCATATCACTCGGCATGTGAAGTGGCCTTCTGGCCATTTGCTTGTGCTTGGAATGTGTTGTGACTTTGTGATCCACCTTGAACTTGCTTTGCTTTTTCTTGACTGGTCTTGTGACCACTTGTTCTCCCCCACTTTGCCTATGGGAGTGCGTCATAATGTTATAATGTTTATATTGTGTAGGCTGTGGTGGGGTAGCCCTAACGGGTACAACTTAATTAGGGTTAGTTGTTGTACCAACTTTCTGGTCAATGCATTCATTTTCGTTCAGTATCTTGACAAAATCCTGACGTATGAGGCCCTCACGGTGCCTATGGTTATGTCCTCCAAATGTATCAAAATCATTAAACCTATCGACGGGGGGTGTGTTTAATTTGAGGTACAGATATGTCACCCTACTGGAATACATGCTTGTGGGTGCGAACTCACCGGCGGTGTGCAAAATCTGGAAGTTAACAGTCTGCATGCAGGTGAAGCAAAACGCAGAAGTTCACCTAAAAAAGAGGAGAGACCCTAGGACTTTTAATTTGTGTAGAGTTCACCATATCGCGAACAAAATTTCTCAGCAAATCCATGGAATTCTGCAGGGTCAGGTCTGGTTCACTTTTTTTTTAGCAGAAGTGGTCGAGTACGAGTCGTATAACCCCTAGAGTGGCAGGGTTTCTTCGAACTGAACAGTAAGTAAACAAGTTCGAACCGCCCTGAGGTTTTATCCACCACGGCCTAGTAAGCGGCTTCGCGCGTGCTAAGCCAATGCCTTCCATCGCGCTTGGTCCTGCGCCCCGCCTTCGCAGCAGCGCCAGTTCGCTTGCGTCTTGCGCCCCCTCGCCTTTCGCGCCAATTCCCCGCGCATTTCATTCGCCTGCGCCCACGCGCCATCGACGGGCGGAGGCACAGCGCAGAGGTCGTTGCGTCGCGATTTCGTCATCGCTCGTCGCGTGCGCACCCAGCGCGGCGTCGTTTCGAGACGGTCAGGTGAGAGCCGTGCGCGTGTGGCACTCAGGCCGCCGTGCGCGTGGGTCAGCGCTGCTGGGGCGCGCGCGCCGTCATGCAGCGCGTGCGGCGAGGCGACCCGCCGTCTGCGCGCAGCCGGGAGGGACACGAGCGTTCGGGGAGGGCGACGATGGCGTGAGGGCCATGGCGTTGTCGGCAGCGACCCCGTAGGCGGCCGTGGCGCAGGTGCTGACCGCGTAGCTCCATGGGCGCGGATGGTCGGCTCGGATGCCTTTTCCGGGTGCACGGCACACAGTGTTGCTGCATGCTGCACGCCTGCTTACCACCCTCCCACCCTCTCCCCCCGCCCACAGCCGTTGCTGGCAGCGACCACTCCGTGCCCACACCGGCGCTTCTCTCCATCTGCCATGGCCAGCCCTGCAGACCACTCCGCACCACCACAACCTCATGCTGCCCAACCAAGTGATGCTGCCGAACCGAGGGACGCGACCAAGGCTGCACTGGAGGGCCGGAATGAGCGCGGCATGGCGGAGGTGGCAGCGCTGAGGCGCGAGGAGGTGGGCGTGGTGGTGGTGGACCACGGGTCAAGGCGCGCCGAGTCCAACCAACAGCTCGGTGCGCTCAGCTCTAGAGGGCCAGGAGGGACGTTGGGGGTTGGCGGGGCAAGCTGGAGACGGGATATAGGGAGGGAGGGAGGGAGGGAGGGAGGGAGGGAGGAAGGAGAAAGAAGATCTATGTGTGTGGCATGGTGGGGTGTCTGAAGTCGGCTGCATGGTTCCACGGGGTCACTGATGCTGCAAGCGGGAGTGGATGAGGGATGCTCGGGGGCGCTTGTGAAGGGGTCACACCTCATTGCATCCCGCCCACCACAGTTCGCCCACACTCCTAGCGGAAGGCACCATCATGCCGCACTTGCATGCCGCACCTTGCATGCAGCACCTCGCATGCCGCACCTCGCATGCCGCAACTCGCATGCCGCACCTCGCATGCCGCACCTCGCATGCCGCACCTCGCATGCCGCACCTTGCATGCCGCACCTCGCATGCAGCACCTCGCATGCCGCACCTCGCATGCCGCAACTCGCATGCCGCACCTCGCATGCAGCACCTCGCATGACGCACCTTGCATGCCGCACCTCGCATGCCGCACCTCGCATGCCGCACCTCGCATGCCGCAACTCGCGTGCCGCAACTCGCGTGCCACAACTCGCGTGCCGCAACTCGCGTGCCGCACCTCGCGTGTCGCAACTCGCGTGCCGCACCTCGCATGCCGCACCTCGCATGCCGCACCTCGCATGCCGCACCTCGCATGCCGCACCTCGCATGCCGCACCTCGCATGCCACACCTCGCATGCCGCACCTCGCATGCCGCACCTCGCATGCCGCACCTCGCATGCCGCACCTCCCATCCAGAACGTTGAAGTTCATTGCTCCCATGTCTCTCCCTCTCTCGCCTCCCTGTATGCCCCCATTGGTGTGTCACCACCAGACGTCTTCGTGGGAGTGTTTCAGCAGGAGACGGGCTACTCCATCGTGGAGCCGGCGCACATGGTGAGGGGCGCACATGGTGAGTGGTGCACAAGGTGAGTGGCGCACATGGTGAGTGGCGCACATGGTGTGAGAGGCGCACATGGTGTGAGAGGCGCACATGGTGAGAGGCGCACATGGTGAGAGGCGCACATGGTGAGGCATCCCTCGTGGTGACTGAACACTGTGAAGCTCACGCTACCCTAGTTTCCTCTTGTATCACTCTCCACATGCCTACTCTGCCTCACATGCGCTGTCAAACCTGGTCTCCCTATGCACAACCCCTCCATGCTGCACTCTCTCCTCACTTAACCCATGTCATCGCATGGCTGCCACTCCATCCGCCCGATCGCCCTCATCTGCTTCACCCCTTGCAACCCACACACATCTGCCCCTCCTCGCTTCCTGCTTGCCCCAGCAAACCGCGCTGCGGCCATGCAAGCCCTCTGCCTCCCTCCCCTTCCATGTTGCACTCATATTCCTTCTCAAGGATAGCATGCGGAAGTGATGTCGACTAGTAAGGGAAGGGGTGGTACAAGTAAAGTGTCGAGAGGAACATGTACCCTCTACTGTGAACCTCACTGTAGCCGAGAAGTCTAACAAACACATAAACAACATTTGGCACACCCCGATAGGCTAAGTGAGGGGCATCAAAGCAATCAAAGGAAACAAATGGTCACAAGACCAGTCAAGAGAAGCAACAAGACAACGTTTAGGGTGGATTTCAAGATCATCACACAGTCCGAGCACAAGCAAACGGCCACAAACCCAGTTCAAGAGTTCACAAACATATATAGATACAAGAACAAGCATAGCAAGGAACAAGAAACAAGGCTACAGCAACCGAGCACCATCGTCAACAAGACATAACTGCAGACAGAACCTGTGGTGATCACTAGGCGCTAGGGCTTTGGTGAAAATGTCTGCTGTGTTGGCCGCTAAGACCACGAAGTCCAAGCGAACTTGGCCGCGTCGCTGCAACTCTCGCAGGAGAAAATACCTCACGTCGATGTGCTTCACTCTATCCTCCAGTCGTGGCTCTCGACAAAGGAGAATCATGGTCTTGTTGTCAGCGAACAAGGTCGGTGCAGAGCGAGGCCGCTCACCAAGATCAGTGAGCAAGAAAAGTCAACCAACGAAGCTCCTGCGCAGCCATAGCAGCAGCGTAGATCTCTGCCTCTGCGGTGGACTGTGCCACAGACGACGATCGAGTAGACCTGAGCCCCATGCCTGATGTAGTCGCCAGGTACATGAGACAGCCCTCAAGCACTGCGTAGGGACCATGAGACTCAAATGGCTCGTTGGGAAAAGGCCCGGTGAGTCTGTGGTCGACAGCAAGAGGAGTGGGCTGTGTGGTGGAGTGCTGAAGTCTGAACTGCTGAAGGACCTATTGCTGTGCACGGCTATTGCTGTGCGTGCGCGGCTGTTGCTATGCACTTGCGCGCAGCTGCTGCTGTGTGTGCGCAGCCGCTGCTGTGCACGTGCGCGCAGCCGTTGCTGTGCATGAGGCAGTGGCGCGTGCGGCTGCTGCTGCGCGTGTGGCGACTGCTGTGCGTGCAGCTGTTGCTGTGCGCGTGCGCGGCTGCTGCTGCGTGCGCTGTTACAGCTGCGTCCGTGGCTGCTGTCGAGTGCGAGACAAGTCGCAGCGTGTGCGGCTGCTGCGTACGTAGCTGTAGCTGCTCGCGCGCTGCCTATGCGTGCGTGAGTTGCTGCAGTCGCGTACGCGTCTGCTGCTAACTAACGAGCGTGCGCGCGACCTAGCCAGCTGGGGCGTGCGTTCTGGCGGCCTAGGAGGGACGTGACGGCTGGAGGGGAGGGAAGCTAAGGACTTGAGCGGTTTAGGAACTATCTAGGCCTAGGAACTTAAGCGTGTCATACCATCTCAAAGATAGCTCGTGGAAGTGATGTCAACTAGTAGGGGTAGGGGTAGTACAAGTAAAGTGTCAAGAGAAACATGTACCCTCTACTGTGAACCTCACTGTAGCCTAGAAGTCTAACTAACACATAAACAACATTTGACATTCCCTCCCTGTCAACCCCCCCGCCCCCCCCCCCCCCCCCCCACGGCCTGACCAGGAGATAGCGGAGCCGTCCATAGCGGTGGCGTTCATGCGGTGCGTGCAGAGGGGCGCCAGGGGCGTCATCGTGTGCCCCTACTTCCTCTCGCCCGGCCGCCACTGGCAGCGGGTGCGTTCTGGGGTGGCCCACCGGCTCATGCACTTGTAGCGTGGCAGCTGTGACACATTCACACATTCGCACCTCTGGATTGTTTCTGACACATTCGCACTGTTTTGAGACCCTTGCACCCTCTCCTCCCTGCCACCATGTCTCCCCTGACACCATGTCTCCCCTGCCACCATGTCTCCCCTGCCACCATATCTCCCCTGCCACCATGTCTCCCCTGCCACCATGTCTCCCCTGCCACCATGTCTCCCCTGCCACCATGTCTCCCCTGCCACCATGTCTCCCCTGCCACCATGTCTCCCCTGCCACCATGTCTCCCCTGCCACCATGTCTCCCCTGCGCCACCATGTCTACCCTGCCACCATGTCTCCCCTGCCCCCATGTCTCCCCTGCCACCATGTCTCCCCTGCCACCATGTCTCCGCTGCCACCATGTCTCCCCTGCCACCACCATGTCATCCCCGGCCTGGCAGGACATCCCAGCGCTGGCAGCAGAGGCAGCAGCGCAGCACAGCAACGGAGTGCCCTTTATAGTCACCGCGCCCATTGGGGTGCATCCACTCGTTGCTGTGAGTGCCGCTCATGGCCTATTCCTTTTTCCTTCCTCTTCCCTGTCCCGCTTTCTCTTCTCCCGTCCACCCTCTTGTTCACACAAACGAGTGTTGAAGCAGAGATACTTACAGTGCCATCTGACTGCCATCGCCTTCTCACTAGCATTGCCATCTCACTACCGTAGCATTGCCATGTCACTAGCATTGCCATGTCACTAGCATTCCCATGTGACTGCCAATCGTATGAGTGTTCCGGTGTGTCTCGGCGCTCACCCCCGCCCCTCTTTCCCGCTTTCCCTTCGCTCCTGCCTCTCACTGCTACCCCTCGCTGCTCCCCCTCGCTGCTCCACCTCGCTGCTCCCCCTCGCTGCTCCCCCTCGCTGCCCCCCCTCGCTACCCCCCTGCACCGTGGCGAGCGCACCAGCGTGTGTTGGAGCAGCGCATCACCCACTGCCTGCAGCGAGTGGCCAGCGGGGACGCCACCAGTGCTTGTGATGCATGCAGGGATGGGGGGGGTTGCATGGAGCAGAACCTCCTCTGACAAGCGCCCCAACAGGGCCAACGTTTCCAAAAAAGAAAAGACACGTATGAGCTTTGAAAAGACACGTAGGTGCTGTTTGCTAACCGTAATCGACTGGATCGAAGATAATTTTTTATTTGTTGTACATTTGTTATGAGTCGATCGAGTCCTATTCTCGTAAAATTGGTACTTCATACCCGTCATCGCTCGGATATCAAACAGTGTCGAATTGAAGACAAAGGGTGTCATTAAATCGGGTGTTTCTTACAGATGGGTGTTCTTGATTAATAAGACACCTATAGGTGTGTATGAGTTAAGATACTGTCTTGTATACAGACTGGGGTTTCGAGGTTATATGATAAACAGGGGGTTATTGTTGAAACAACTGAACGAGAAGGATTGGATTGAGCAGAAAGTTGGGTAAAAGTACTAACCCTAATTGGATTGTACCCCTTATGGGCTACCCCACTACAGCCTACACAATGTAAGCACTATATGAGTTTGAAACACCCCCATAGGCAAAGTGGGAGAGAACAAGTGGTCACAAGACCAGTCAAGAAAAAGCAAAGCAAGCTCAGGGTGGATCACGAAGTCACCACACATTCCGAGCACAAGCAAATGGCCACAAGGCCAGTTCTCATGCGGAGTTATATAAAAGAGAACAAACAGTACAATGATCGTACCCTAGCAAGTGTAAGCATGCAGGTATATATATATATATCACAGTACAAGCAAAGTCACGCAGTAAGCAAGTGAGGCAAAGTAGGCACAAGGCCTAAAACAGTAGAGAAGCGCTGATGATCACTAGGCTGAAGTGCCTTGGTGAATATATCAGCAGTGTTGGCCCTAGTGGCCACGAAAGCAAGACGAAACTGACCACGCTGCAGCAGCTCTCGAGCAAGGAAGTAACGCAGAGCGATGTGCTTCGTTCTGTGCTCCAGTCTGTGCTCTTGACACAAGGCAATCATTGCCTTGTTGTCTACGTACAGATCTGGAGGCGAACGAGGCCGCTCTCCCAAGTCAGTCAGCAGGTAGGTGAGCCAGCGTAGCTCCTGTGCAGCCATGGCCCCTGCGTAGATCTCAACCTCACAACTGGAACTGAGAATAGAAGACGAGTGGGTAGACCGCCAAGAAACAGAGCCGGAGCCAAGGCTGAAAGTGTAACCCTGTGACGACCGCTGCGTAGCCAAGTCATCAACCCAAGAAGCGTCTGCGTGACCAGTGAGGACAACTGGACCCCATCCTCCAAGCACGAGCCCCATGCCCGATGTACTGCACAAGTAGCGAAACACCCTCTTAGCGGCCTCCCAGTGTTCTGGTCGGTGTCTCCCGGGCGCAACGTAGTGTGCCAGGATGCGAAGAGGGTAGGCAAGGTCAGGTCGAGTGCAGGTCATCAGGTACATGAGGCAGCCCACAAGCTCTGGACATGGGCCACTCGGCTCTACGGACTCGTCCGAAGGTGGAGCTGAGAGCGAGTGACCGGTAGGTAGAGGAGTGGACTGTGGCGAGGAGTACCGGAAGTCGAAGCGCTGAAGGACCTGGTCCACCATGTGTGACTGAGTCAGGGTGATGGTGCGCCGTGCTCTGTCCCGGGTGATCTGCAAGCCAAGATAGCTGCGCAGCTCACCCAGGTCAGTGCAGGTGTGTCTCTTCTGCAGCTCCAACTTCACAAGGGCTAGTGCCTCAGTGTCAGCAGTGGCAAAGACCAAGTCGTCGATGTACACGAGGACGTAGAACAGCTGCAGCGAAGTGTCGGTATGTAGAAATAGCGACGGGTCAGCAGTGGAAGGAGCAAACCCAAGAGCCGCAAGTGTCGTCCTCAGTGTGTCGTGCCACTCGCGAGGCGCTTGACGGAGACTGTAGACTGGCCGCCGGAGGCTCCACTAGGTACATGTAGGAAACGACCCAGTGAAGCCAGGTGGGCGGCGCAACCAGACCTCCTCGTGCAGAAAGCTGTGCTGAAGTCAAGAGAGTGCAGCTCGTAGTCACGCTGAGCGGCGATGTGCAGCAACACCCGAAGAGTAGTCATCTTCGGGGTAGGGGAGAAGGTCTGGAAGAAGTCAACACCGTGTCGCTGACTGAAGCCTCGTGCAACGTAACAAGCCTTGAAGACAGGCGGAGAACTCGGCGGCCGCTTCACCCTGAAAATCCACATGCCATTTTCGACGTAAGTGCTTGTGGACTTCCAGGATGCCATCTCTGCGTCCATGGCTGTCTGCCACCGAGAGGAGTAGGGACCCGTAATCGCCTCTGCGTAAGAGCGTGGGGTCAGGATGTCTGGTGCATCCTGGTCTCCCTCAGGTGCAAGCAGCATGGCCACGAGATGAGGTACAGCAGCTGCAAGACACTCAAAGTCCACCACGAGATGAGGTGGCAGGGGAACTCGCAGTGGAACAGAGGAAGGACCAAGTGCCATAATGTGAGTGCCGGGGACAGGAGGAGGACGCGAACGAGGAACACGAAGGCCAGTGCGAACAGCGCGAACAGGCAAGGCAAGACGAGACTCAGGCACACGACGCTCTGTAAAAGAGTCTGTCCGCTCAGCGTAAGGAGAAGGAGCAGGCAGTGGGGAGTTTGGATGTAACTCTGGCTGCGACTAATGAGGCGGTGGATTGAGTAAGCTAGGAGGAAGGCCAGTAGAAGATGGGAGACTAAGAACCTGGCGAAGGACCGAGCCAGGTGGTGGCAGAGACGACGGTGGCGGCGGAGCGAATAACGGTCGCCGCTGCACAGTGCCTCCAGCACCAGCACCGCCAGCTCCAGCACCCTCAGCGCCAACACCTCAAGCTCTAGGGTCTCCAGCTCCAGTGCCTCCAGCTCTAGCGCCTTTAGCTCCAGCGCCTCCAGCTCCAGTGCCTCCAGCTCCAGGGTCTCCAGCTCCAACTCCTCCTGCTTCAGTGCCTCCAGCGCAATCGTCTCCAGCTCCAGAGTCTCCAGCTCCAGTGCCTCCAGCTCCAGCGCCTCTAGCGCCAGGGTCTCCAACTCCAGCTCCTCCAGCTCCAGCACCTCCAACGTCAGTGCCTCCAGCTCCATGGTCTCCAGCTCTAGCGCCTCCAACACCACCAGCCCCGGCAGCTCCAGTACCTCTAGTACGAGCACCTCCAGGACCAGCAGCTCCAGCACCTCCAGTACCTCCAGCTCCAGCAGTAACTCCAGCACCTCCAAGACGAGTAGCTCCACTTCCTCCAGCACCAGTGCCTCCAGTGGTAGAGCCCCCAGCTCCTGCAGCGCCACTCTGAAGGCGTGTGCGCTGAGCAAACCATTCGCGCAGCTAAAACGGTGAGAGAGGCTCCCGTCGGGGAGACAGTCGTGGCGAGGCACCCGCAGGACCTCCAGCAGACGTAGTACCCCGAGGCTCAGCACCGCCAGACTCAGCACCCCCAGGCTCCGCACCCTCAGGCTCAGTACCCCCAGGCTCTGCACCCCCAGGCTCAGCACCCCCAGACTCCGCACCCTCAGGCTCAGCATCCCTAGGTTCCGCACCCACAGGCTCAGCACCCCCAGGCTCCACACGCGCAGGCTCAGCAGCCCCAGGCTCCGCACGCGCAGGCTCAGCACCCACAAACGCAGCACCCCCCGACGCAGCACCCCTAGACGCATCACCTCTAGCAGCACCTGAGTCTACAGCGACCTTGACAGGCACAGTATCAGGGAGTGGGTCAACCTGAGACACACCTGCGGAGATAAATCTATCAACGGGAGCTAGACTGCGGGCTAGGCACGGGGTAGGAGGGATCTCTGCGTTCGTTCACTTAGTCATTCTCTAGCACTTGTGCGTTCACATGGCAAAACCACAAGAGTTTCACTAGCAAAAGTTGAGAACAATGGTGGCAACTAGATTGGCAAGGTAGACTACATAAGAAACCTAGCATACAAGTCGACCACCAGCTCAGCACGAAGGCGACTTGCTAGCTGGTCAACCTCAGGCGTCCTCAGTCGACCTGCAAGGCTGGCGTGGCAGCACACAAACAACAGGCCACCATAGGTCACCACACGTGCTCATGTGTGCGCACCTACTTCGCAGGTGCAAGGTGACGGTAACGACATGCACCGCCATGCACATTGTGCAGGTGCCAAGTCGACCACATTTCGATGGTTGCACCTGAGGAGTCCTGTTGACCACATGCCACCGAACCGCAGGTCGACATTGCTAATCTACCTGGGCGACAGTCGCGAACCTCGCAGACCTCGTCGTTCAGGTAACCTGGTCAACCAGGCAACCATGTCGACCAGGTGTGTCATCCCAGGCCCGTCGGCCACCTAGGTCGGCGACCACCACATGTCAACCACACCAGGTCGACCACTCCCCTGTTCGACCAACTCCAGGTCGACAACCCACCTGGTCGACCAACTCCAGGTCGACAACCCACCTGGTCGACCAACTCCAGGGCGACGAATACACTTGTCAGCCGACCACACCTAGTCGGCTTCCCCTGGTCGGCGTCACCCAAGTCAAACCTCCACTGGTCGACCTCCCAGAACGACCAACCGAAGTTGGCGCCCTCCCAAAGTCGGCGCCCTTGAAGTGGACCTTGTGCAGGTCGACCAGGCCCGTCGACCAGCTCGCCCACTGTTGCAGGTCGGCTGCACTCCTCACACCCGACCCCGAGGTCGGCTCCACCCAAGCGAGGACGGGGCCAATAACAACTCCCGTTGACACTCCCCTGCCACGTTCACGCTTGGGCCCCCAGCCCAGACGACAGCACTACTTGGAGAATAGCTCGTTGGCGTGCACCCAACACACAGCACGCCGGTCACCGCACCAGCCATGTAAGAGGGCATTGCACCTACTGCTGCTCGTCGTTTTCACTGTCGCCCATGTCGACTAGGCGCACCTGGCCGATTGCAACGGAGCACCGGTTGAAGGCCGGGTAGTGCAGCGCCTTCGTCAGGATGTCGGCTGGCTGCTCAGCGGTCGGGATGTACTTAAGCAACAACTTCCCGCGCTTCACCATGTGCTGCAGCCAGGCTTGTCGCCGCTCCATGTGCTTGAGGTTGCCGGTCAACCCCATGCCCTCGAC